TTTTTTTACTCACAGCTGGAGATAAATGGAAAATAAAAGTGAAATATCCGCTAAAAAGTCGAAGAGAAACTATTTTGTTTTATTCAAAACGCAAATTTCATTTCACCGATAAAACAAGAACTAGTCCAACTAGTAATAGTTATCACTAAATCTGCCCCCGCTTTCCTTTATTTCTGCTGATTGAAAACAATAAGTATTGAACATTTTGTATGAACTAAAAACTTTATTTTTTTTTTTTGTAAACTATATCACTCGTACTGTTCCAGTAAGTTAGGCATCTTACCATGAATAAGGTCCAAACAATCAACTAAGTTAACTAAACCAACGCATTCTGTTTGACTCATTCTATCACACGATATTCTTTACATAATACTCTCACGAGAGCATTTACAGCAGAGCAGTTTACCATATCTCGTTTTAATAGAAAGGACGCAAAAAGTACTTTCTGGGGGAAAAAATAGGTTGCCTTCGTGGAAACTAATATTTCTTTTACAAAAATTTCACTCAGTAGAAATTTACAGGGGAAAAAAGGTTAAAAAATAATAGCAAAATAAAAAATTAAATCAAACTACTCTGTTGTTCCGAAACAAACCATTTGTCTTGATATACGAGCAAACGTATCTCGAAAGCAGAACGGAAGTCGAGTTTTTTTTTTTGCGAGACCTAAACAGAAGTATCGCGTTACAGTCGCCATATATGCAAATTGAGTCAAGCTTTTAGACCTCAACGAAAACGCTGCAAAACATTTACATTTATATTTGGATCCCTGCAAAGTCACCCAGCCCACACATGAGTTCTATGCCACGCAAGATTACTTAATACAACTAAGCGATCCGAATAAACGAGATACCAAAGGTAAAACTGGCGATCGGAAGAGTATTTAGCTATTTAGTTACAATTGAACCACACTGGCCTCAAATTTATAGTATACTACAGAACTTCTTACGACACGTTCCGAGTTGCTTTTCTCCCAAAATCCATCTTCAGGATCTTTGAAATCGTTTTCGCTGCTACATGCTGCTAGAAGATGGCGAAGCTCGGAGGTGACGAAACCCGAACTCGTAGATGAAAGACATTCAGATGCAGCTAGAAGATGGCGAAGCTCGACGGTGACGAAACGCGAACTCGTAGATGCAAGACCTTCAAACGCTGCTAGATGCTGCTAGAGGATGGCGAAGCTGGAAGGTGACAAAACGCGACCTCGTGGTTGCAAGTACCCGACACCACCGTGCGCGCTTGCTATAATATTACCCGAGACCACCGTGCGTGCCTAGTTTCGTGAAATCGAGAATGCTTCGCCCATTACAAACACATTTC